GACAGCACAGGGACCTGTAACACACACGGGGCCCGGGAACCTGAGCCCAGGGTCAGGGCAGGAAAGGGAGAGACAAGAGTTTGTTTAGGTGGGAGGGAGGACCCTGAGTTGCCAAAAGAGCTACAGTAGAAAAGACTCAACATTTTACTGAATTTATGGTAACTTTGGGACCAGGAAGTGGTCACCAGCTAGAATGGAACTGAAGACACTTGTCACACCCGTCCCCTTCTCCTCCCGACAACTCCCCCCTGCCCTGGGTTCATGGAGCCTGAGATTCTGACCTCTCACACATACCTGCTTCTTCGCAGCCCAAATATGCCGGTATCGATGGTCACCTTCTCCACACTGGGCCACACCGCATTAAAGCTCACCTCGGACAAGTAAGTCCATTTACTCCTCAACGCAGACCCAGTGGACCGACCCAGGCATGTGTCCAGTCCAATATTTGGGACTTTGAGAGGAGGCAGCACCGGCTGCCTCAGGGGACAGTGAGCAGGAGCCACGCCTGACTCCCAGTCTCAGCTCCCAGAGGAAGAAGGGGAAAGCGGACCACTCCTGCATGGCGGAGGCGGGATTGGTCTGTGCGGCGTTCCTGAGGAGAGAGCCACTCGGGGCTGAGGTGCAGACTGGGGCTTTGGGAGGGAATGTCACAGGAGACGGAGGGCCAGAGGGGCCTGGTGTGGCTCTGTGGGAGCACCCCCCGAGGAAGGAAACCCCCGGGTCCTCCGGCCAGGGCCTCGGCTCAGCACCCATGAGAGCTGCGGGGGCTCCTGGCGGGCCCCGGCCTCTGGCAGCGGAGGTGCGGACTCTGCCCTGGCATGGTGTGAGCTCTGGCACAGGAGCACAGGGACGGAAATCGCAGGGAAAGCTTGTGTCTGCGGGGTGACATGTAAGCGATGTGGGCTGCCGAGCACCCGGGGGCCTGGCTCATGGCCACGAGCTCTGTGCCAGCACTGGCCCTGCCCGGCCTTTGGGCCTTCCCGTCAGGACTCTAGACCTGAGCTCAGAGTTCAAAGCAGCTTCACTGCTTCCTTGGCACCAATCCTGGGTGGCAACCGGGTTCAAGACCCCTCAGCATCCGAGGCAGGCGGGATGGACATCCAGGGCAGTAAGAGGGCGACCTCAGACACTCAGCCCTGCCTGCGGGGGTCAAGTGCCCACAGGGCCCCCTAGGGGCTGGCACCAGGCGGTAACACTGGCATCCCGGTTGACATTAGCACCATCACGCCTGCTCCCCTGGGCCTGCGGAGGGTCACTCAAGCCCTTCCTGAGGTCCCTGGGTCTGTGGCTGAGACAGTGATGGACACAGAGATGCCCCTCATCCTGGTCAGTCTGTTAGTGCAGAATGTGCCAGCCCCGGTGGGCTGTTCATTAACATGCAACACTTCTTCCTTCCCAATACCCCTAGTTTATTTACTTTTAGAAAGGAAATAGAAGACAGTGTCAGCAAACTGAGGAATACAGTTTCCATGTGAGACACAAATATGCAAATAGGATTTAAAAAAGGTTCAGCTAGAACTGTCAGAATTTACCCAGCCTTGTAACTGTCAAATGTTACTGAGTCATCTCAACAGCCTTCTTGCTTGCTGGTCAATGAGCAGATGGCGGCAGCAAACCTTGGAGGTAAGACCCAAGGGCGCCAATCCAAGACAGTCAGTCGGGGGCTCAGCCATCCGCAGGCCCCCACTAATGACCTGACTCTTGAGCAATTTTCCTGCCAATATGGGGGTCAGGCCCTCCTCTGTACTCAGAGGGGGAAATGCAACCATTGTGACCATTCTGGGAACTACGTGGGGCCTTGTTTTTATCAAGTATGAGGCAGCTACCTGCAGCTGAGCTGTGTGAAAGGGAAAAAGGCCAGGGCAACTCGAGCAGACAAATCTCTGTGGAGAAAGAGCCTGAATATTCCCGAAGCACCACACACTGCCACATTCACGTGGAGGGGCTACCTCCTCCCTCCATATCTCCCTCTGGCTCACACCATTCTCAAGCCTGTGTGGGCCCAGGGCTAAGAGCTATGTCTGCCCAGCACCATGTCCCATGAGAGAGAGACTGTAGGAATGATGATGCAGGCAGGTAATATAGAAAGGTGGAGGCAAGAGAACTAGTCTGGAAAAGCTTTCAGCTGGACTCCAGGACCACTCCCCCAACTTCTCAATCTTAGTTTCTGACTAAGTGGCCCTAAGGAGCCAGAAGACTGTCCAGGCCTCCTCTGAGACACTCTGGTGTGACTGTTCCCCCATTGATGTGCAAATGGCATCTCCTTGTCCAGTGAACTCTTCTGTGTCACCTCTCAGGGAAATGGTTCTGCCACCTGGTAGCAGTAAGAGCCTGAAAGAAAAGTCCCCAGCCAGGCTCAGTCTCCTCCTTTGAAGGTCCCCAGCCCTGCGAGCACCTCTCTTCTGCTCACATATGGGAATGGAGGTGGCTAGAGATCCAGAAGCTCGGCCCATGGCTGCAGAGCCTCCCAGCTGGGAGTCCTCAATTATAAAGGGTTTGGGTCTCCTGTCAGCTTCTGCACCCCGTGTCTCAGGGGGCCACCTCACCCTCAGGTAACCTTCCCCAAATCTGTGAGTTTCTCTGACCCTGCACTGGCAGCCAAGGTTTGGGGGTGGGGATAGGGCTGGGCTTCTCCAGTGGAATCTGGTTGCCCAGGGGCAACCTCTGACAAGGGGGAGTGGGGACGGGGTGGGGTGCCCCATCTCCACATGGTCTCTGACACTGTCTAGCGCCTGCCTATGTCCGTCCAGGTGGCAGCCTGGCATAAGGGCAGGGACCTGACAGGGAGCCTGGAGCACAGGCTGGGTCGTGGGGTCCCGGAGGCCCTGGCCTACCCTCCTGCCTGTGTGCTCTCTGCAGATCATTCCAACTCTTAATTTCCAAAATATTCAAAACAGGGTACCAGCAGCTGGAAACACCAGCACAAAGTTCCCCAACATCAATCCTTACCATCTGGCTGTGTGCCTAACGGCCCTCTTAATACCACTGGTGATCGGGTGTTTGTGGCGAATCCGAAAAGGAAAGGTGAGCACGCCATTCTGCACACACTAACCTAGACAAACTCGAGGAACCATTCATGGGCTCTGCTCATGCCCTCAGGGCACAGTCGTCACGGGAGCAAGAGGAGGCACAACTCTGCCTCCTCTCAGACCCTGCAGACGGTCCAGCTGGTGGGGCCTCCTGCCTCCTGCTGCACAGCCCGTGGCCTGCGCTGCCCCGACCCTGGGAGTAGGGCCCCGAATCCCGGGCAGGGCTGCCCCATGGCACCCAGGTTGAGTGCTTGTGGACACTGCTGGGAGGTGGACTCTGCTGTTGAGCCACAACAAGTGGCCCTCAGGGCAGCAGGAGCAGGATCCCATCATCCGGGCACCTTTGCCATAGACCCAAGTGTCCACCCATCCCCAGGGCTTCTGTCCACTGCTCCTCCATCCCCCTGCCTAGTGCCAGGGTGAGCTGTCCGTACGGGCACACGGGGACAGAAGGAAGCAGCTGCCAGCCTGCCCACAGCAACCACATTCCCAGTCCGGGCAGGTGTTGCTACTTGGGCAGCAGAGGTTGGCAAACAAAGGACATCTCTGGGGGGCCGGGAGACACCCTAGATCTGAGGACAACCTGGGTGAGGAACAGGGAGGCGGGCAGGGCCTGGTGGCTATGGCAAGGGCTCGGCTGAAGGAGCGGGAGGGCTGAGCACAGCGGGAAAGTCACAGTCACTGGCCCAGGAGCGAGCAGGTCCTGGAAGCTACTTCACCCTCTGAGAGCTGCAGAGACCAGAGCTCAGGGACGTGCAGCCATCGACCACTGGGGAGAGAAGCAGGAGACCCAAGATGCAGGCTGTCACTATCCTGCCATCTGGGTCCCCTCCTGCCTGCGTGGACCATCCAGAGCCAGCACAGCCCTTTCAGCCTCTGTTCCTCTCCTTCCCTTTCTAGAACAAGGAGCCGGTGAGTTGTGTTTTCGTTCCTGGTGCCCACACTGACTGGCACAGAGAGGCCTCCTGAGCTGTGGGATATTTCTACTCCCACCCCACCATCTCCACCTACACCGACAGGCACCTGGCAGCAAGAGGGTGACAGGGGCAGGGAGGGCCCTGGGAGGACCTTGGA